CATACATTTGATATCTGTTTGGTTTGCTTACCCAGAGTTATGGATAAAACTGTTTTAAACATCCTATGATTGCATATCATAATAGCTGGCCCTCGTGGCCAATGAAGACCACAGTGCTGCGTCAACAGGTCAAGGTGTCCTCTTGCACTTGAGGGCCGGTGCTAGCCCATTTGTTGTGCAGCCAGGCAACTTGTAGTAACTGTTGTTTTTTGTGGGTTAAACTCCAGTGTTCCAGTAGAGAATAGATGCTTCTAAAACAAGTTCTCCAGCCAAAGCCATATGCTTTTGTAGCTTTGCAAAGTTTGGGGGGAGAGTTGGTGTGCTCTATTTCAAAAAGGGGAAGGTGTCATTTCTCCCCCTCTATCCTGGGTTCACTGTAGCCTCAGAGTCTTAGACAAAGATTGCAGTGTTCCTTTAATATTTGAACATGAAGCCACATCTGGAAACACTTAGCTGCTGGTAAAAAAAAAAAAATCACCTCTTCTAGGGAGTCAACATTGCAAATGCACTCCGCACTTAAAATGCAAACTAATAAACTGAGATTTCCAGTTAGGCCCTCAGTCTCCATGAGTGGAACTGAAAGCCAAAAGCTTTCTAGAGATGTGGGTACAAAGTCTGTTTTAAAAGCCAAACTACTCCAAGCAACTTCCCTGAGGAGACTAATAACTAATTCTTGATTAAAACTGAATGTCTGGGAATAATTTTCTTCCCAGCTTTATGGAAAGCAAGAAATGTGTTATTTGAAGCTGGGCTGAGAGGGAGAGATGGGTGCACCCTTCGAAAAATCACCTTCAGAGGTGGTATGTATGTTTTCCGCTGGCCGGCCACCCTGGTTCACCTATCCCTATAGAAGTGACACTGTGTTACCTTGTCTGACCTATAAGCCAGAGATGGGTCTCTGAGATGGTTAACCCAAACAGAGTACACAGAGGCCAGTTTCATTGAATAGGTTGAAAATGAGGCTTGTAGCTGTAAGATGAAGTGGGCAAAGTGAGGCCAAGGGCCCAGATTTTTTTAAAAATGCAAAACAAACAAACAAACAAACAAAAACACCATTGCCTAAAAATTATCTCTAGGAGTATGTATTTCCACCAAGTTTAAGCCATAGAAAAACCCTTTTTGAAACAGGAAGCAAACAAGAAGTGACTTCTGCTTACATCCTATAGTTAAAAAAGGACTCTCCTGGGCCAGAAATGGGCCAAGAAGGCACAAAAGCATGGTGAAAATGCCCCCTGTGCCTCCAGAAAGCATTTGGGGGAACAAAAAAAAAGTTTTGCAACCGCTAGCCTTCTGCAACTGCCCAACCCTGTTGTAAGACTTGTAAGTTTAAATACTCATTTTTTAAAGGACTGGCTTGGGGGTGTTGTATCATTTTAAGTGTTTTAAACAGTGTTTCTTTTTAACTGTATTGTTTTCTTTTAATAAGCAATCCATTTTAATATTGTAACAATTTAATTTGGGTTTAATGTACCAATTTTCTATGCCTTGAATTGTATTGCTCTTTTAATGTTGTGAGCCATTCTGGGTCCCAGTTTTGGGAAAAGAGTGGGATATATATATATATATATATATATAATTTCAGCCTATGGGCAATGTGATTTTGAATATGTAAGCCTGAGTATATGTCCATTAGTCTTAAACTGACTACTCTGGCTTCTAGTTTGTTTCTGAGTTTAATTAAAGGAGCTGGTTTAGCTCTTCATGGCCTGGGACTGGGATAACTAAATATCTCCTCCTCTCATATGAGTCTGCATAGAATTTGAGATCTTCCAACAAAGAATAAGGTCCAAAACACACTGCAAAAATCATCCAGTTTGAAACCGCTTTAAATGCTCTGGCTCGATGCTAGGGAATTATGGGAACTGTAATTCTGTGAGACATTTAGCCTTCTCTGTTAGAGAACTCTGGTGTCACAACTAACTACAATTCCCTGGATTCCCTAACAATGAGCCAGGGCAGTTAAAGCAGTCTCAAAACGGATTATTTCTGCAGTACGTTTTGGACCACAGTCAAGTCTAGCTGAGAAGATAGATTGTTAAATAGATAAGACAGTGTTTTCGCTATATCAGACTCTTCCCTCTGAACTTTCTCAGGCTTTATCTATATCAGAACCTTCATTCTTAACTTTTCCTCACTCAAGGGAAGTCACAAGGGAAGTCATGCCTACTGAGTTTCTCCAGGTGGGCCGTCAAAACATATTCCGTCTGGCCAGTGTTTTTTTTTTTTTTAATTTGCCTTTTGAATTTGTTTTAGATATGTCTTTAAATAATGACATATTTATAATAATGTTTAAAATATATTTTGTTATATATTACTTGGTGGGTCATGAAAAACAATGAACACACACTTTAAATAAATTGATTAATAAACTATAGGTATAGGAACCTTGACCCTGAAAATGTTTTGCATTACAGTTCCCAGGCTCCTCTACTGTTGACTATGGAGATTAGTGCACTCTCTTTTAATGCACCTTATCCCCAACAGGATAAAGGAGCATTTATTTTTAAAATGGGGTTTATTGCATTCGCTCGTGGCCAGGCGAATGCATCCCATGTGCAGCCTGGATGCCAGCCAGGCATATTCTGTGGCTTTTCAAGAACAGGATTTTCCCATTCTTGAAAAGGTGCAGGATAAGCTCGGCTGGCAGCCAGGCTGAAAGTGGGATGCATTCACCTGCCCATGGGTAAATGCGATAAAACCTGATTTAAAAATAAATGTGCCTTTATCCCATCAGGGATAAGGCATGTTAAAAGAGAGTGTGCTAATCATTTCTGCTACCTATGGCTGTGGGAATTGCAGGCCTAGTTATTTGGGAATAAAGATGCCCTACCACTGTTGTAAGCTCCTAGGTTTGATTCCCATTTTGAGGAATGCTGTAAATAACTAGGAAATGGCTTCCTGATGGAAGTTTCTGATTCTGCTTGGCCAGCTTGCACCTGCTTAAATACACTGCCTGTGTTCTCATTTGGTAAAAATGTGTTCATAGGCTTTTGAATGCAGGTTCAAACATTTTCCCCTAAGCAGACATTGGCCTGCCAGACCACAGTGTGCAGGCTGTAATGTTTGGACAAGGAAGCGAACAGGACAACACTTGGACAGCTGGCTCACTTGCAAGAATAATAAAGACCATCACTGAAACCCAGAGGGTCTAAGCTTGCTGATCAAATTTTATTGGGTTTAAAGCTTGGCAAAAGTAAGGCACAGAAGTTCCTTGGAGACTATTTACATTTTAAATTAACATTCTGACTACTTTAATATGCTTTATATAGAGCTGTCTTAGAAAAGTATTTAAAACCTGCAGCTGATGGAAAATGCAGTGGCACAGTTTTTATGGTATTGGGCAAATAGAGCATGTGAAACACCTTGAATTGCCAAGTTTTGTTCTGCCCTGCTGTGCCATGAGGCAGTTTGATGATCTGCAGACATTTGCAAGTGTTAATGCTTATCTTCAACTGTGGAAAAACTTTTCTTGGTAACTGTGCAGACCTCTGGTCAAGCTGTTCAAGGCACAAGTACAGGTCATGCTGTCCTTCCCCACCCATCTCAGCTCAGTTGGCAATGCAAATGTTCTCACTCATTTGTGTTGAAAAATTTCCAGAAGGGTAGCCAGTGTGGTGTCGTGGTTTGAGCATTGAACTATGACTTTGGAGATCAGGATTTGATTCCCTGATTGGGCATTGAAATCCACTGGGTGAACTTGGGCAAGTCACACACTCTCAGCCCCAGAAAACCCTGTGATAAGGTCACTATAAGTTGGAAACAACTTGAAGGCACACAATAACAACGAGCCATATTACACTGTTGTAGCAAAAGCAATATAGAGCTTTGGTGTGGCACTTCAAAGACAAGTAAAGGGATAATGACATGCATTTCTTTGCTTGTATGCTTATAGAGTTGGCCAGTTGGAAATAAGTCAGAAATGACTTGAAGGTACACAAGATCACCAAGTGGTTTTCCATGGCTGAGAGGAGATTTAATCTTTAGTCCAGAGATGTAGTCCAATGCTGAAACCATTACACCATGCTGGCTCTAGAGGGGAACAAAATGTAAACACATTAGGTGGAAATGAAATGCAAAAAACAAAAAACCAAGTACATTAAATTGTAAATGATGCACAGATATGTACAGTGAATCATATGGCCTATTATGCACATGAGAAATGAAACAACTACATCAGGTAAGCCTCTTGCTTACATTTAAGTTTTAAGGCAGGGTGGGGATTGTGCTGCCTTTCTTCATTGTTGAACTGCAGCTTTTACTAGCTGTGTTCCACATAGCCAATGGTGGGGGATGCTGGGATTTACAGTCCAACAATATCTGGAAGGCTGTATGATTCCTAGCTCTCTTTTCAAATAGTTATCTGTGGCCTACATACAATAACTAATTAGAACGTGAGCAGAATCAACAAGAACTCAGTAAGTCTGTAAATTCCATTAATTCAATGGTCTTTTCTAGTGGGGACTAACAATTGGATTTTGGCCTCTATTTTCTGCATTTCATTTACATTCTCTCTTTCTTGCTTGTGTATTTGTGTGTGTGTATCAGCCTAATGAATATAACACTTCATGTGTTTGGTAAAGTGGGCTCTAATCAACAAAAGCATAGGCAGCATGATGTAGTGGTTTGGCATAGTGGAGTGCGACTCTGGAGTCCAGGGTTCAGTTCCCTGCTCAGCCAGGAAACCCACTGGATGACCTTAGATGAGTCACACTCTCTCAGCCTCAGAGGAAGGCAATGGCAAACCACCTCTGAACAAAACTTGCCAAGAAAACCCCATGATAGGGTTACCATAAGTCAGAAACAACCTGAAGACATACAACAACAAGCAACAATAATACAAATGTTCACCTTTAAGGACGTTATCACACATGGGAAATCTGTTGGTTAATTCACACAAATCCCAAACAAAAAGCGAATT